ATACGCTTATTATTTTACAAATAAAAACCGTTCCCGGAAGGGTGAACGCCGGCGAGAGTCGCGACCCGACTCGCGTTTGCGCCGCTGCCATATTATTTAATCAGTTTCTTTATTGACTTAATTCGACCGTTCGCTTCGTTAGCGACTCATTAAAGGTACGATTTCGTTATAATTTAATGCAACTCTGGAGCATTTTTTATATAATAGATGATAGCGTGTATAAAGTTGAAGATATGGAAATATTTTATCGAGGTATTTTTATGCGACCGATTTTCGAAGCAATAAAGTAGACAATTAGTACAACGATATATGAAATGCTGTAATCGGATTCTGATCCGACGTTTATCTTACCGGGGGGAGGCGATGTCGTTCCGTTACCGACTCCCGGGATCCGTATCGAGTCGAGCGTCCGACTATCTCTATCGGCTCTGAGCACGGGTGAATATTTGTCTCTGCCTTTGTATCGAGTGTAACCTTTGAGTATCGATACGACAGTGAAATATCGAATTTCCGCTTCATGGGAAAACCATACCACCAACCACCAGAGTCTGTGTTTTATGTGGCACGAATATTTGTATCTTAGCCCCCATTCGTGCACCCTTATTTGCCTGTTGCCACCACGATCACAAAATCATTAGCGAAAGCTTGGCAGTAGACCTTGTCGAACTTCAAAAAAAAAGGAAAGGAGTAGTTTCCACAGGTTCCTTACTACGGGTACTTGCACACATATTTCTTATGGCTTTAATCATGGAATTACTTTCGATTGATCGTATATCGTAGAAAATCTATCCTTACAGCCGAGTCTCTGAATCGTTAAATTGAGAGTTGCCAGACTATTATAAATTAACTTAAAGATAAAGTGAAAGTTTTTTATTATAACACCTGTGGATCTCGAGCGCCATAATGACAAATATTCACCGGCGTTTACGCGCCGCGTAATCGGCTGAAAGTCTCATGCTCGACTGGATATGGAATCCGGGTGCTGTAGCGGCTAATTTTTATTTTAAGGTAAAATTCTCTATTCTACTTTTTGACAATTTCTACGATGGAGGCTTCGAATGATCCGTTTTAAATTGAACTAGTTTAGATAAATATTTCATCAAATTAAAATTCAGTTTAATAACACATTGGAAATTGATTTTAGAGAATATTCAGCAATTGTACTAGCAACATTATTAAGGAGGTTTTCGAGGGCAGATATTTTCATTGGTTTCATTTACTTCTTTTCTTCCGCTGGTTTTGCTCCGTCTGGGTGCAATTTTTTTCCTTAAAAAACCTTTGTCTGCCACCGAAAATCTCATCGTAGTTATAGCTGTAGGAAATGTTTATCGTTTCTACAAATTATTCAATAGTTTTAAGGACTGTGTATGTGCGAGTGCATGACTTTTGTACGAATAGACCTTATCCGACGTTTTGTGGAAATTTTCTAACGATATTTTAAGGAAATTGTAATTAAATTAATATTATTTTTGGTTGGTGTGAATAACTTTTATAACAATTTGGGACGAGTGTATTATGATGCAATAATTGCGTTTATGCTTGCACCGTATTATACATTATTTACATATCGAGTCATTTTTATTAATTTGTTTTGCGTAGTGTATTGTCGGAAACCAAGCACTCATTTCTGTAAAATGCTCAATATTTTTTCTATTTAACTCTTTTTACTTCGAAAAACACGAAAGTGCGATTAAAATTGTTGGAACTGTTTTTCGAAGTTCGCTTCATTCGGTTTAACTCGAAGCGACGATAACCCTGCGAAGGAGCCGTCGAGTCGTGTCAAGTCGCGTGAGTGCAAGAGAGCCTTTAGCAGTAAGTTGTATATTCTACGTAAGAATAATTTCCCGTATTTATTCTATTTTTACTCATTTCTACGTCCTTATACTCATGGTAACTATGAAGAACTGATTTTTTGTAAGTGTATTTAATTTGAAACTTTGTAGATGTAGATGGAACCCTTTTATTTCCATACAACGAATTTGTTTCTCTACTACGATACGAGTAGGTTTTGATACCAACGTTTTAGGTAAATTGTTACAATTATTAGTGAAATTTTAAAAATGTTTGGCTGAAGTTTACTTGTAAAAATTGATGTCATTTAAGCGTATGCTGTAGTTGGAAATTTAGGATAAAATATTTCATTTGATTTAACGAGGCAAAAGAACCATATCGATGGCAGTTAGGCGATTTTGGAGAGAAATAAATAATTTCTTCTGGATTTTATTTTTTTTATTTTCATCCGACGATCTAAAATAATGATTCTTTCTATTATTGACACACGTTTCTGCGTTGGTAAAAATGTGATATCTACTGAGTACTGTGATACAAACCAGAAATAGACGGAAATTTTGATATTCCAGGCGCTTTATAATAACGCGTAACTCGTAAGAGAGTTAGACACTCGTTTATTATAAATTCCTTGGAAAATGCACTTGGCAACCGTGAGTTGACATTTAAGTGCGGTTAGCCGGTTTGTTATGATAACACATTCTTTGTTAATCGCGCTCTGTTGGGCAGGCACCTGGCAGGCTTTGTATGTAAATATTATTACTCCACAAGTCACAAACCGTGCAGTGTTCTAGGTGTTTTGATATTTTAAAACATAATTATCATAATCTTATTAGATGTATATTAACTAATATTTTTCGGTCCAAACGTAATATATTTTTGTATTATTGGCGATTGCATAAACAATCGTTGGCACTTCGGCCTCACACCGAAATTACGACAAGGTACATTTAGTTAATATTATTTGCCTTTGAGCTCTCAATACGTCTACAAAAACACGATCAAAACCTTGAGAATATGGAAAGCTTCGATGGCGTTATTTGTTGTGTTTTATTAACGAATAAACTCGATATGCTAAACATAAAAATGTTGCAATACAAGTTAACAAAGCATATATTTAATAATCGAGTCTACTGAGAAGCAGTTTTATTACTTCAGTAACAGTAACTGAACTCATACGGGTTCTGCTTTCTGATGGTAAAGCTTTTTTGGCAAACTACTCGCTCCAGATTACTGACTTACAATTGTAGGTACTGCTGTATTGGTATGGTGTTATGTAAATACAGACAAGAAGGTGTAATCCGAAACAATGCTCTAAGCTTGCAGTTTCAATAGAAAAACTTAAATATAAAATAATGTCATGTTTCCATTTTAATCTCGTGTGGAATGCGACCTTCCGCTAAATACCAAAGTTGCAAAACGCTTTCGCAGTGATTTGCTTTTGGTTTTATTATTTTATATTTGGTATAACTATGAGTCTCGATTGTATGTAATTTGACCTTAGGCAAGATTCGATAACTGACTACCTGTGGACGTACCTACTCTTGCGAACAAGGAGGACTTCAGGACTACAAAACTTCTTAATACGTTAGATAACCAGATACTTCAGAATATTTAAAAAAACTTTTCTATTAAAGGGCTAAAACAAAATATATCAACTACCAATAATAAGAGCTTTTCTAAGTGTATATCTACTTAAGTCTAATAAGTACTAGTGGAGGAAATGAGTATATTTACCGAGGCGTGATTTGAGACGCGATTAAGAGCTGTTTATTCTTAGCTCTGACCTTAAGGCTTTCTCGAGAAGGTCAGATGTAAATATTACGTCTAACCACGTGAATCGAATGCGTCTAGACTAGACTTGAAATTACTGTTCCCAAGCGTGGTTTACCTCATTATGCAAATCTTTTCGAGTTTGAGGCATTCTAAAAAGATATCTTCACTTTATATTGCAATTTTATAGACAACCAAATAGTTATGCTGTTATTTTCTTCCAAATAAGTTTTAATCAATTTGAAATCATCAAACAAATATTTTTAAACTAATAACCTTTTAAAAGAGTACTAATAACCTGAACTTTAAGTTTAAAGTATATGCCATTTGGTGACGAATGAGCAATAGCTGAGCGCATCAGACCGCTAAACTAGAGAATGTACATAATACTTATTATTTTATTTAACTTGTATTGCAACATTTATATGTTTGGTTTATTTAAAAGTTTTTTTTTTCAATATTTAAGTATGAAAATGACCTAATCGATGATTATAAAACCTAGTTGGACTAATAAAAGTGAAAATGCGAATTGCACCTTTCTAAAATAAGTAATAAGTCAGCTCCTAGTTTTCCTCATGAATATTTAACTTCAAACCGGCGCAAGCTGAAAATAATTAAGTTTATATCTTCGAAATCTCGATGGTACATCATCGTAATTGATTAGTTCCACAACCAAATTACTGCTACTAAAACGTTTCGAGGCATGTTGTGTATAAAAATTACTTGACTTTAAAAAATCCCAGATAACTATGGTTATGTTTGATTTGACAAGAAAGCACTAGTCATTGTCTGGTCTTCGTGATTCGTGAAATGCAACTCAATTTGAAATGTCTGACAAGTAAATGATTATCAGCTGGATCTAAAGGCTTAAAGTGAATGTAATCCAACGAACCAAGCGATCGGCCAACTATGCACCTCACCGCGCCGGCGCGAATCACGCTCGAAGAATTAATTCAGTTTAATTCGTCACCTCTAGCGCAACGCTAGTGCCGCGATTTTTTGTTATGTTCCTTTTCTAAACAAACACAATGCCGGCTGATATCATGTCTTCCTGTCGCGCCGAACACTTCGGGCCTTTGAGCAAAAAGACTTGCGATGCTGAAATCAAGTCTGGATTCTTGGTGCTCCTGGGTCGTGGAGGAATTCGCCAGGACGTGCGAGTGGTGGTCTACCGAACGTCCCAGGAACATTTCGCTTCTATATACCCAAGGAAACGATTATCGAAGCCAATAGGTATCGTCAATTTAAGAAATACTGCCGTAGAGCGAGTGGAAACGAATTGTGGATTTTTTGTCAGACAAAAAGGTTATGATAATGCAATCTCAGCGAAGTTTATGTGCCCAGAGCGGGATATAGACGCATGGTTATCGGCCTTCTCTAATTCTTCTACAAACACGTGCCAACATAATACAAGTCTACCGGTTTTAGTGGAAGCCGAGGAAGCATAGGCCGACCGACCGATCGGGTCTTCTGTGGAACGTGAGAAATTTCGGTCAATGTTTGTTTTGCCATGGGATGCGAAAAAGTGAAAGCACGTTTTTTGCGGTATGAAAGTATAGACAGTATACTTCAATCATTACACCTACGTGAGATTGAGCTCGAAGATGAATGTTTTGAAAACAAGTTTTTAAAGGGAAAGTAATATTAATAAAGTTTATGCAATTTTGTGAAACAAACCTATCATGAATGTAGGCAAACCTTCTAACTTGCATAATACCTACTCGTATATCTGGTATCAAATGAACTAATTATTATGTTTTATACGTAGATGTATACAATTTTTTAACATCTAATCGATTATATACAGTTGGCAAAATTAAAATTTACGAGCATTTTCTCTAGTATTTAGTATTATATAGATATGGAATCAATTAATAGTTTATGAATCCGTCGAAGCCTCGTATTTTTAATTTGCTGGATGTTAAAAATTATAATTAGGTGCTTACTTGGTTTCAAATATTTGCATAGATTACCGAAATTATTACGCAAAATAATTTTACAAATGAACACTTAGATGTTTTAAAATTCAAGTTCACAGAAAAGAATCGAATTAGATGGGGAGGATAAGCCTTGGGTGATCGAAAGGGTGTCCTTGGTTGAAAGGGAGGAAACTTATTCTTTCAAGGGGGCTCGAATAACTTCTTAATAACTTGCCAAGCATTAGGTAGAAAATATATCGATACTTTGATTTTGTAATATAATGGTGTGTTATTGATAATTATTAATGATCTTAGTCGGCCTTAATGTAACAAAATAAATATTTATCGACTGCAAAATGCAACCTTGCTCTATACAATTAACATTTAGCGGAAGTTGCATTGAAATAATGAATATTGCAAATTTTGTGTAATTTTTCCTATTTATAGTTACATTATATCGTCGGTGCGTAACTTTGGTTTACTAATATTATTTACTAGTTAATTTGAGGCACAATTTGCTTATAGTAACTACAGCTAAAGTTTAATCATTTAAAATGGATCCTTTCTCAGTGGCCTTCCAATGAGCCTCAAAAGTATCGTCTGTTGTCCTAAACCGCGATACAGGTTATGCACTAATGCACTTTTAAAATGTAATTAGGCTAATTATAAAAAACGCATGCACTGTGCATACGCTATTCGTAATTACCTAATCCTCATTTTTACATTCCTTTATTGATTTACAGAATGTTGTCGACTTTCTTGCAGCATTATGCAATCTATTAATTTATTGATTGTGTTTAAAAAACCTTTCGTAACACTTAAAAGGTTGTAAACCTGTTTAGCCTATTTCGGTCAAATCGTCACACGTTTCTTTCAAAAAGCAACAAGTGCCGATCTACTATTCTTAGGTCAAGAATATTTTTAATAAAAAAACTGCGTAAACAGTATTTTAGAACGAATGCCTTAAATTGATGGAAATACCACGAATGAGCTTATAAATTGTGATGGGATTAAGTTAGACTAATGAAAAAGGGGGAAAATATCGATTTCAAGTACAAGCGTCAATTTCTATTCAATGTACTTTCAGACACTACGGCAACATAGTAAAGTTATTTTGAGTTATCTAATCAGAGTCCTACACGAGCTGTAATGAGACATAATGTTCTAAGCATATTTTTTTAAATAATTGTACTTATATCTTAGTGGTTACAATTTAAAAATAATCCATTTGGTAACAATAACATTTTTATCTAACCCATTAAAAATTGCAAAAACAAGAAATCAAAAATGCCAAAATGATGGCGAACCTGTAAAATAAGTTGTGCGTAATAAAAGTATTACATGTAATTTGAGAAAAAAAATGAAACTGAAATAAAAGATACTATATTCTACGATATTAAGTACTTTTGTGGAGTTTACTGTTGTGATTTGTATTTAAAAATATTCGTGATAATATATCAAGTACAGATATCGGCAAACATCTAGAACAAATGTCCTTGCCTGCGCAGAAGCGATTTTTAGGTATCACTGGGAGGGCGGGCAGCGGCGGGAGAGTGGCGTGTCGACGCGTGATTAGTAAATCAGTTGACGTTTGTGTCGATGCGCAAACTTTCCCCCACTCCCTTGTTTAATGCTGAAGAAGTTTGCCGGTATCTGTATAAACCAGTACTTAGGTAATTGAGGTATGAAGTCATAATAAATGCACTCTTTTGTGTCTACGCATGTCGATAGATGCATTAATGTGATACATATGGTAAGTGCGTGTGTACATGTATATATATATGCGCGAATGTACTATGTTACTTGAAATAAAATATTACGAATCGAATTATATTTTATATCATTGCTCCCAACCATTTTTCTTGCTCAACTTATTGTGGACTGTTTATGTGCGGTTAAAAATATTCAATTGTGCGTTACAAGTAAAAAATAAATATATAAAAATGGTTATCGATATCGCAATCGCCCTCAATTTAAACTAGAGTCAAATGTGCCTGAATCCAGTCTACGAATAACACGTCACAGCGATTGTAAACAGCTAACGACCAATTAACAGGCTAACTGTAGCAAAAACAGTTACTACCATGAAGATTAGTAGAGCGCAACGTTGACGTGAACCAGAATATTGGTGTATTCTGGTATCGAATATGGCCAATCTATTCATCCTCATCCTTGCATCGATATTCTATTTCACTCTCTCCTTTACGCCTCTATCGAAGGAAGAGCAGATACAAAACTTCAATAAATTGAACGACGACGTGGAACCGTTTAGAAGGAATTTAACCGAATGTGCGCGACAAGTCAAGGCTTCGATGGTAGACGTTGAAAATTTCCTTAAACGAATCCCACAATCGTCCGCGCAGGGTAAGTGCTTCGTCGCGTGCATTTTGAAACGCAATAAAATCATTGTCAAGAACGAAATCAGCAAAGAGAATCTTTTAGAAGTAAACCGAGCAGTATACGGAGACGATACAGAAGTGATGACCAGGTTAAAGTCTGCGATAGCGGAATGCAGTGATGTCGTAGAAGGAATTTTCGAAATATGTGAATATGCATCTATATTTAACGACTGCATGCACATGAGGATGGAGCATATATTGGACAAAGTGACAATGGAGAGGAGAATGGAAACGTTAGGACAAATGACATCCAACCCGGACATATGGACGGAGGACGATGACGAAATTTTGAAATTAGTCAAAGATGAATTGTAAGCGCCCGTTTATAAGTTATAGCAAAATTGGCGAAGTCAATATGACTCGAGCAAATCGTGACCCAGTTTTGCCAGCCTCTTATTTCATTATTGTTTTAACTTTTGCTTTCATTGTAATAACGAAATTTATGTAGGTATGTTACCGAAATAAAAAATCATGATCCATGCATAAAAGATTTATTAACAAATTTAAAAAATACTAATCATCTACACGATAAATACATATCGTAATCATTTGTACATCTTTTGCAAGATTTCTATTGACGTTCATCCACAAGTAGCGAAAATAACTACAGATAGATAAAAATAAAATCGTAACGGAATGAAGTTTACGAAAGAAACCGAATTATCATTTTATTTTGTTTTAATTATAAATTAATTCTTTACTTGTAACATGACATTACAAGAAGAGGAAAATTATATATGTTTTTAGTGTTTAACTAAAAAACTAGAATGAAATTTCAATAAACAATATTTGGGATATTTTTTTCATTATTCGCCGAGCGAACTCTCGCCAGCCGTTACGGTATTCTTTCGTAATCATTTATATGAGTTAACATTAATTAACTTACAATTTATCGGTCTATAGCGAATGGTATTTCAGTATCGAGAAAGCCATTTTACAATTATTTCGTGTACACCGCTCACTCTAAGCTCTGACACTGACCGGGCTCTAGATCTCAATTTCCAGATTGTAAAATTACAATCCTTCGAGGCCTCAGCGATCCGCAGATCTCGCGGCGAGCCCGGTTCAATGTCGCCAGTATCACTGCTTTCCGCGTTTTCCGGGCGGTTTTTGAAGCTGAAAACTGTCCGTCTGAGACCCGAAACCGCTAAAGTTCAACGACGAATTCACCGCCTGCGGCGTGGGCTGCCAGTTCGATCCTGCGAAGTCAAATTCACGTTTAAAAAACCCGCTCCACTTTTGTCGTAGTGATATATTTAAAGGCACAGGTTGGCAATTCTACAAAGTTGCGACTGAGCTTCGAAAACAGTTAATTTGTAAACCGCTGCAAACCTTGGGCCTCGGCGGCGGAGAAGGGCGACAGAGTGCTGCCGAGGTAGGTGAAGGGCGTGGGGCCGGCCAACTGCTGCGCGTTTCCTAAAATTGACATTCGTTACTGAAGCCCATCTTTCGTTTCGTCGTCACTTTATTATTTCGTTTCGGCTCACCTAAAGCGGCCCTGGGGTCCGAGAGCACGGCGCCGTCGAACCCCAGCTCGCTCGGGAACCCCGACTTGCTCTTCTTTCTCGTTCCTTCCGCGTCTCGTAATATCTGGTCCAGGCTCGCGCTCGCTGAAAAAGGAATAAAACGGTCCATTATCACTAGTGAACACTAAATTCTCGTTTGCCTCTCGGAGAGACGGCCGTCCCGGAGGACGACGACGAGCGAGACTCACCGCTGGTGTCGAAGACGTCGGTGGGGTCCTTCAGCACGTACTTCCTGAAGTTGAGGTACTGCTCCTTCTGCGCTTGCACCTGCGCGTGCACGGCCTGCAGTCTTCCAGCCAACGCCACGAACGACTCGTGCATCCGGCGCATGCCCATGGTCAATTCTGCCATTACGATACGTTCCACGTTAGTTAAACTTTCGTGGTGGACGACCGCGACACGAGTTTAGAGAGGTATTTGAGTTTTTTTTAAATGGTAATATTTTGTTAGCGAGCGATACAAACGTGATAAATGTCAATAGAACGGACCCTGTTCGGTGAGCAGTTTGGGCGAGGATTGCATCTGCTTGTCGGCCACGTCCATCTGTCTCCTGAAAGTGATGATCTGCTGCTCTAACTCCGATATCAGGTCCTTCACGTACGTCGGCGGAGTTATTCCTTCCAACTCGGAACCTGAGAAATTGTCGGAAGTCTCAGAGAACTGTATGAGAAAGCGGGCTAGAGGTGGAAGAAGAAAAGAAAAAAAGTTACCCGGCGGGTCTCTGTTGGCGGTCTCGGCGGCGGCGAGGGCGGCGGCGGCGGAGGTGCGGAGCCGACGCGACTGAGCGCGACAACGCGACGTCTCGCTGTTCAGGGCCATGGCCAGGCGCAGAGTGCACTCCGCTTCGCGACTCACCTGCGAGGACGGTTCACCATTACGTTGGAGTCAATTATCAGACTTCTGTCGAGCGAGAAATACCTTCTGCAGAGGCTTGATAGACACCCTCATGATGTCGGAGCTCAGAGATTTCTGTTTCTTAACAAATTCTTTAAAAGCTTCCACCGTTGTCGATACCTCGTTTGGTAATTTCGTCTGCTTTGGAGGTTCACCTGCGAAGAACGTATTTCTGTGAGATCTTTTGATGATTTACGATCTCCGTTTAGACTAGAATATGATATGAATAAAGCCGAGCCGAGTTGAGCTTAAGAAAAAAGTTCATATAGTACTCACTTTTGCCATCGCTGGCTCCTGCTGTGTTAGTGGGTGCCGCTCCTCCCAACCCCAGACTAGTTGTTGCTGTAAGACAAAAATGATATTGTCATTGTAAATTCTTATTCTCCATTAATGTAATTTTAGTTAATAAAAAAAAGCACATCTAACATAAAATGATCTTAAAGTAAGAATATAATGTGACCAAACATTCCTTTGTATTGTTTAAAAGGATGTGGGCCTCCCGTGTCACACTGATTCTATTAGTATCTATGTGCTTTTAACTAACCTTTGGACCAATTACAATCACGCAAACATTAATAATTATAGATAATATACCAAATCTTAGTTCCTCTTTAGGAGCCAATGATAGACATGGTTCTTGTCCATTATACATATTTAATTTTCCATCTGCAAATAGTTTTATGATATAATTTTTACAAAATGTACAAATAATCTAGATAATATACTTGTTTTAGCCACTACTATTTCGCCAACTTATAAAGTTGAAGTCTAATATTAATATATAATGTCAACATTATGTGAATATAAAAAAACTAGATAGAAAAGAAATAATAACTCACATGAAGGTATTACAGTAGGATAACAATCACGCTTAGGGCACTTTACGGTATAAATGGAATTATTTTCAGCAGTATTTAAGGGTAAATTGTGTAAGGATTCATTTTCAACTGTAAGAATATTCTAAATGTAGCTTCAAGATTTTACTAATATTTTAATCTGGAAATAAGTGCTTTTAACTAAAAGTATAATTATTGATAATTGATTTTTCTTTTTCATTTTGCAGGCTAATATCAGTTAAAGTTATAAAAAAGATAAGTTATTATTATATATATACATTTTACAGGTTATTTGACAATTAAGAGAAAATAAAAATATATAGAGGTGCTTACCAAAGCTCCCTGTAGTAGTTGTACCACCTAGCCCAATGTTAGGCTGTGCAGTGGTCGAAGCACCAAACCCAAAACCGCCAAGGCCACCCAAGCCTGCACTTGTTGTCGTCGTTGTACCAAATGAAAGACCTGGAATAAGTACATTTGCTTTAAATGTTTCAGAATTATGTGCATGTAACAAATTCAATGAGTCATTTCAAAGTGACATTAGTTTATTATAAATTAGTAGCAAAGTAAAATAGTAAAAATTATTACTATACTATATTGATATAATTATATATTACTGGTAGCTGAAGTAGTAGTTGTTGCTCCAAAACCCAATCCAGTGCTAAGACTACTTCCAAATGAGGTGTTACCAAAGGCCGGTGTTGTAGTTCCTAAAAAATTTGATATTATTTTCAAGAAACTCTCAAGTGAAATAGTTGCAGTTTCTTGTAACACAGAACACTTGGCGATTTGTGAACTATTGGTAAATGTAAATTTAGAGGCATTCAATTTATTTTCACATTCATTACCTATTACTATATTCAAATTTTTAGCAGTTGCATCTTTGACTAAAGTGGTGAACTGTCCAGTGTCTGTGACGTGAAGACATAGTTATCAACATCATTTCAACTCAAAAGAGGCTTTTATACTTAATTAGTAAGATTAGGTAAGATTTGATTTCAGATTCTTGTTAAATTCTCTATTAAAAGGGTTAAATGAAGAGCCAAGGTTACTAAATGCAGATGCAGTAGAAGCAGTACCAAAAGCAGGAGTAGATGTAGCTCCAAATGCTGGAGTAGATGTTGCGCCAAATGCCGGTGTAGTTATTGCGCCAAATGCCGGTGTAGTTGTTGCACCAAAAGCAGGTGCTGCTGATGTGGCACCAAATGTTGAGGCAACAGATGTTGCACCAAATGCTGGAGTAGAACTAGCTCCAAATGTAGGAGCAGCAGGAGTTGCCCCAAATGCAGGTGTAGCATTTGCTCCAAATGTTGGGGCTGTGGATGTGGCACCAAATGCAGGCGTTGAACCAAAAGCCGGTGTTGCTGTCCCGAATGCTGGAGCTGATGTAGCAGGTGTACCAAAAAGCCCTAAGGATGGCTGAGTACCACCTAAACCAAAGGCAGGTGTGGCGGGCCTAGTGACAATTATAATTATATTACATAAATTTCAATATAGAAACGATGTAGTCAAACTATTATGATTTAAAGTAGGACATATAGGTTATAACACCTAAGGAGTGTATGTCCAAAGAGAAGGTCGAGTTGTTAGTGTGTAACTGAGTTTTAGATTTTATGTTAATTTTCCATATAATAAATAACTTACTTGTTAGCGCCAAAACTAAAACCCCCGGATAAACCACTTGCTGGAGCACTTGAAGGAGTACCAAAAGAAAACGACATTTTGTTGTTAAAAACACGAACTGTCTTCAGTTTTGAAGTATACTGTATAGAACCAGTTAAACTTAGACCAACATAATTTTACAAGCAAAGTTTGGAGTTATCAGACATGTTATATTTCTTACCCAGATTCTATAGAACTATAAACATCTGCCATGTACAGATTGTACACGGTTTGGGCTTTGGCGTATACATTTTTTTTTTTATATTATGGCAATAGTTTTGACGGCGTATACATTTCAATTTAAAATTAAATTCAAAATTCACTGACAGTACATACTAGTGTCATTGTTACTGTCATGGAAGATTTGGACTTTTCGTAGACCGTAGATAGAGTATAGAACTAGATGAGCTTCTAAAATAACAACAATAACTAAAGAGAGAAGGCATTAACGTGAAATACTTAAGTGCGAGCGAAACAGAGTATCAGTTTTTCTGTCTCTATTTGCGTATCGGGTTTTATTTATTTACCACCGAACACTCGGTGGTAAACAAAATGTCACCAATTTGCCACATTGCCACAATGTTGTCATAAATCTGTGAAACCCAAGTCAACCCCATATTAATTTAAGACTTTATCCTTATAAGAGGTGTATTTAAAGTGTCAGTCATGGTGGATTGTTGCATAATTGGCTGTAAAAGCTATAGTGAACGTAAAGAACCAAACATAACCTTTCATCGGTAAGTAGCTTATTTTGTCACGACTCAGTAACTTTGTTCAAGAATTATTCATTCGAATGTGTATTTTGCAATATATTATATAATATATATTGTCAAGAATAAGGAATCTTCAATGAATTAAAACTGTATATACGACAATTCCAAACATATTTTTCAGTGCTATCCGACTAAATTGCGAATCATGTAACCTACGTCAGGTAGTTGCCACACTTCGTGTCCTTTGTAAATATGTAGTTGGATTATAACTCGTTGGGGCTACCAGCACTTGAATAAATTTTCCACTTCTTTCAGTTTTCCGAATGAACCGTTTTTAAATAATAAATGGACTGAGTGTACCGGTAGATTAAACTGGCGTCCAACTCAAAACGCCCGGATATGCTCAAGACATTTAAAAAAAATGTTATAACCAAATAATAATAATATTGTTATAATTGTTATTGTTTGTAACCTCACCAATGTAGACTGTACACTGTACACAGTGTGGTCGGTAGCCCTAGACTTCACGCACACTGCTGTGCGTGTACAAAAACGGCGTCTGTGTATTACACACACTTCCTATAATGAAAGTCTATGGTGTATTAGGTAGAACAGTTACTACGCAGCGGTTGTATAGAGTGTTCGGGTGTGGTTTAATTTAACGTACCTAACTGATTAATATGCGTGTGGAGTGAGTGAGCATCCCCTGAAAAAATTTTTTGTGGGGTATTTCTTATAGTAAAAATTACCTCACAAAATAGGAAAATTATTCTCATGGCAATATTAGTGGCATTATGCAGGTATGTCAATCATTCACTATCTCACACGCTGTATACCTCCTTTATTTGTTTAAAAGGTACTACAAATGTAATTTTGGTCTTTCAAAATTCTTGGCTGCTAACGTCACGCATATTCTATTTCTTTTTACTTGTAGATTGTCTTATTCCCATCTTGCTCGCGCACGCTCGGCGCCCATACTGATAATTTTGTGTCACGGTGCGCGCGCATCGTAAAATTTCACTCTCATAAATTTTTCATAACGCGCCTAAAGAAGTATAACTTCAAAAAAAGAGTGTGCGTACTTATGTACACGCGTTAGAAGTTATACTTCTTTGGCGTATGGAAAAAAAATAACTAAAATGCAGTAGTGATTAACGATAAATATTAAAATTAATCAATAAAATTATTATTAGTAAATACTATCACCGTCGTATATGAAATTGATTTAATAAAAACACCAAAATAATATTTATTTATTCACACTGTTTAATTGTACTGTTACGAAACACGTGTTCAAAATATAAAAATACTAGAATATACAACTTGAACATAGTTATTATCGATTTTCATGTCACCTAGAACTGACTTAATTCTGTTAATTTTCTGTAACGGTGCGCGCGCATCGTAAAATTTCACTCTCATAAATTTTTCAAAACGCGCCTAAAGAAGTATAACTTCAAAAACATAATTTTAAAGTACCTACATACTCGTACTTTAAGAGTAACTACTTTTAGAAACTATTGAGATATATTTTAAGCTTACCAAAGTAGTCTCTATTTATATTTCCATAGCAACTTCTTCTGATGGTACGGTTAGTAAGCGGTCATCTGTCATGTATGTATAGTCATGCTGAAAGATGTTATTAATTTGTTAACAATATTCCAGATTTGCAAAAAAGACAAACAGTGGTAAAATTTAACAGAACAAATTACGGATATAGATAGATAATAGTCTTTATTTGCACACCATAAACATACAAAATCATAAAAATTAAAACAAAACAAAGGCCTTGTCACTTAAACCGATTCCTTCCATACAAATAAAAATATTTGTTTGACAGATAGATGTGGTTAGATTCTAAGCCACTTATTCTATCCTTAAACTTAAGTCTTCACTAATATTGCAAGAGTTAACTACTTACGTGTATAAAAAGTGTAGTTATCGCACGTGGTTGTAAAAACGTTTTATTTTTTTTCTTTTGAAAACATATCATTTCAAAGTGTCTTGAGCATATCCAGGCGTTTTGAGTTGGACGCCAGTTTAATCTACCCGTACACTCAGTCCATTTATTATTTAAATACAGTTCATTCGAAAAACTGAAAAAAGTGGAAAATTTATTCAAGTGCTGGTAGACCCAACGAGTTATAATCCAACTATTTACAAAGAACGTGTCCTTGTAAAGTGTGGCAACTACCTGACGTAGGTAACATGATTCGCAATTTAGTCGGCTAGCACTGAAAAATATGTTTGAAATTGTCGTATTTACAGTTTTAATTCATTGAATATTGCTTATTATTGACCTATTTTGGTCACATTCGAATGAATAATTCTTGAACAAAGTTACTGAGTCGTAACGAAATAAGCTACTTACCGATGAGGTAAGGATAAGGTTATGTTTGGTTCTTTACATTCACTATAGCTTTTACAGCCAATTATGCAACAATTCACCATGACTGACACTTTAAATACACCTCTTATCAGGATAAAGACATAAAATATGGGTTTTACTTAGGTTTCACAGATTTATCAGTAAGCGGTGAAAACTTGTTTACCACCAACGGCTCAGTGGTAAACAAATAAAACCCGATACGCAAATAGAGACAGAAAAACTGATAATCTGTTTCGCTCGCACTTAAGTATTTCACGTTAATGCCTTCTCTATTTAGTTATTATTGTTATTTTAGAAGCTCATCTAGCTCTATACTCTATCTACGTTTCTAGTAATTCGACCACAGAACACATAAATAAAGAAATATGATCGTAGATTGATTTATGTTTTATACTTTATTTGTACATGATTCCAGTGGCGCTACGAAATATTAACGTTGCTCTTTGATGATTGGCGGCGTCCATGCGTCGGGTTGTCTCTCTCCCTAAAATATGGCGAGGGGGCCGATGGCTGGCCATGCGTCATACTCGTGAACGGGTGCTACTTGTGGTGACTGGTCGTACTTGAATTCGTGTATGCGGTGATGTTAATTATTTCGACTATGTTTGCGTGTTGTTCCCACAAGTGCGTGCTCCTATTTCACCATGCCTCCTGGTGATAGGGGACAAGTCTTTGTTTTTATTTATGTTATTATTATTAATTACTTAAAATGTCATGTGGAACATGGTGTAATGGTTGCAGCTCCTTACAAACGTTGTGTAAAAAAAAAAAAAAAAATGGCGATTAAAAAGAGTGGCGGAGAGTTTATTGCCAGTTCTTCTCTTCCGTTCTACGCCCTTAATTTGAGAACTGGCAGTAAATGTAAAATTAGAAGCATTAATACTTATTTCTTTAATGACGAATCACAAGTGTACATTGTGTTACCTACGTGAATAAATGATTTTTGAATTTGAATTTGAATTTTGATTTCTCTCTATACGTAAGTAATAGCCCTCTGTGCCTGAAAGATTATGTATGATTCCTCATGGCGCCGATTTTTGGACTTCACGGAAAGAATGATCAATCGGCCAACAGCCAGGGTTCAGAAAAACAGGCTTAATTTACTAGTACTAGTTAGTCCAATGGCCAATATTAATCTGAGACGTTATTAAACTGTCAGAAGTCAGTCGGCGTCATTGGCTATTTTATTTTATTTTCTATGAATCATTGTATCAACGAATCTCTAAGTAAGTAACAATCTAGTATCCGTGTTTTAATAATCAAAGCATTTTATGCTGTGTAATTATACTCTTTTGTGAACTGAAAAATATTTTTGTTACAACAAGAATAATATGAATTTTCTCGCTAATGGTGGCTCTTTAGCGAAGTCATGCAAAGCTGTATTCAAAACTACTGCAACAATAACTGAAATGAATATAAAACCATTGGCATATCCAAACCCACCGACGAAGATTCTCAAATTCCCTCAGGTTACGTTAAAGGATGAACTGTACAGAAGACTTCCAACTGGAAATGTAACAGTACATTCGGGATATTCGAAAGCAATCGAAAGCATGAACACAGCTGGTGTTGTATTAACCTCTTCCCCATCGCGAAAATAGAATAGTATTTGTTTTCTTTAATATCTAATGATTATAGCAAGAGCAATTTGTTACTTACGCATTTTCTTCAAATTGGAAGCTCGGAATTTAAAAAAGGTTTCTAAATATAATTGCTTGAAACATGTATAAAATTATCATTACTTATAGTTTTTAATATATTTTTTGCCTCAAGTTCCAGGTCTGAATGTTGTTACAGTGCCATCTGTTGAATATGGTTTGAAACGTTTGGTTATTAGTATCAATTCAAATTCTTATTTTTACTAACAGATAGCGTCGCAAACATTCTAATCCTCTCTTTTTTGTCGAAAATGTTTTAAAATTATCTATAAATAAAAATTATATACAATTCTATATTTTCATTATTTGTATCACACATGTCAAGTAAAATCTATTCAGATTTTATTACTTTTATGTGTTGACATATAGACATATAGATAGACGCTGTTACTGCAGACATCACTGCTGCTCACTAACATATTATTATACTTACAATAAATTAGATTCTAATATTGCTGTTTGTTAATTTCTCCCATACTCTCAAATTTACGAAGACTTTTTCAAGGGCTTAGTTATCGTGATGAATCTACCCGATAGCTTTGACAAAGCCAATACCCGTAGGGCACCGCCTGTTACCTTAGACGGTGCAGACATCCCGTAATGATTTATATATTCACTATTTATCTAAGGGTGTCGATGTTAAACTACAAGTGTAGGGTTTAGGGATCCGTAGGGCAGTGATGCTAACTTGGGGGTTCTCTCCCCAAATGAATCAAGATGTTCATGGGGTTTTTAGAGGGTACTTTCTTCAATTTTTTTTCTTTCAAATAACGCACGATACTATATAATTTTTATCAAGCCTCGAACGTCATCAACAAAATAAACTCAATATAAACTCCAAGCGTGGCTATAATTGAAATAACAAAAAGGTTTAAAGGTCGAAATAAAATTTATTTCTTACTACTTGAATGTATTTATACAACATAAACTTTAGGTAACTTCAAATACCCCTTGAAGTTGGTTCTAGGTGGAACATTCTGTAGAGGCTGGCATCACTCCGGTTGGATGGATAGGATGTAAGGTTCTTAGGTTTCACTCCCTCATATATAGCTAGGAATATAAAACTATTATTAAACAAAAATTATTGAAGTTAAACTTCTAATGCGACTTCCAACAAGGTTGCGATAAACGTTTAACGGTCATGGGGAGGGGGAATAGAAAGAGACAGAGCGAGAGTGAATGCTTTCTATTTTCATTTCCACATTACGAAGTTTCACTTCTTCCGCGCGGAGGGACTCCACGCACTATTTTTTTACATTATTTTGTCTGAACAAGCACTAACCGGTTGTTCAAGATTCCTTTTATACTTAATTAACGTAAGAGGTAAGATACCTTACAACAACTTTAAAGGGGTAAGATTTTTACTTATTTTACACAGATGCAGTAGTCATAAATTTTATGTGCCACAACTGCGGCCAGTTAGTATGCATGTCACCGTAAAATTGTAAATACCGTTAGATTGTAATCTATCTCGCGAGATTGTAAACTGTCGAAAGATTGTGAACCTCAACGAACTGCTCACAATTTAACGTATTATTATTCGGTAGATTGTAATCTATCGAAGTGAAACCGTCAAATTGTGAAACGGCCATTTTCTACTTTTCTATTGGTTATAGGTGTGACATTCACTATATTTGTATTAAAAGTGGCGAGTTTCCCGATCTAATGAAACATAGTAAAGTTATTCCTTTATTTAAAGCAGGTAGTATGTCCGACCCCAGTAACTTTAGACCAATTTCCGTACTACCTACTTGTAGTAAAATATTTGAAAAAATTATATTAAATCAACTGGTAAGTCATTTTAACGTAAACAAATTATTACATAATAATCAGTTCGGTTTTACCAAGGGTCGCTCGAACCGATGCCGGTGTTGAGTTATATAGATATATAGTTAAGGTTGAGGAGTCGCATGACGCTTTAGGTGTTTTCTGGACTTATCCAAAGCATTTGATTGTCCCCAACACGAGACCTTAATCGGGAAACTCCGCCACTATGGCATCAAGAATACCGCACTGAATCTTCTGACTTCCTATTTACACGGAAGAACTCAGAAGGTTGAAGTGAATGGTAAGAGGTCCTCTGGGTGGCAGTAGATATGGGGTACCACAGGGCTCAATTCTTGGCCCTTTCCTCTTTCTTGTTTATATAAATGATCTACCTTTCATGGTAGAGAGAAAACATCAGATAGTTTTGTTTACTGATGACACGTCCTTGATTTTTAAAATCAAACGACAAATAACAAATTTTGAGATGTGAAAATCTCTGTCTTCGATTGTCCATTGGTTTAGTATGAATAACCTTCTACTTAATGAAAAAAGACAAAATGCATTAAATTTTTGCAAAAAATGCAAGGGTTATGGATACTACACCAATTATAAACGGTGAGGAATTGAATCTGGATGATAAACTGTATTTCTCGGAATCACCATGGATTCAAAACTTCAGTGGTCCCCTCATATTAACGGATTGGGAAGAGACTTAGTTCTGCAGCCTACGCGGTTAAAAAAATTCGCTCACTAACTGATGTCGATACAGCTAGACTTGTTTATTTTAGTTACTTTCATAGCTTAATGACTTATGGCTTATTATTATGGGGTCATGCTGCTGATGTCGAAACTATTTTCATCCTGAGAAGAGGGCTATTCGTGCAATCTATAATTTAAAATGTAGGGAATCTCTTAGAGATAAATTCAAGGAAATTAATATACTTACCTTTCCCTCGCAATATATTTATGAAAATATTATTATGTAACAAAAATAGTGATAAGTTTACTAGAATAGAACATACGCACAATTTAATACACGGAACAAACGCAGGCTGCAATTTCCGTACTAGACTATTAAAGTTAGTAATTCTTTTTTGGGGAAAGGGATACTCTTCTTTAATAAAATCCCAGAGGCTCTTTTATACTGCCTTTCAATAAATTTAAAAATGTATTAAAAAAAGCTGTGTAAAAAGGCTTACTATAAAGTCAACGATTATTAGTTGAAAAAGGTGGGATAGTGTAGACAGGCTACTTCTAATCAATTTGGATATTTTTTTAAATAAGTGTTGTTGAGAGTGTTTTAAAAGAGTACCGAAGTTTTTTAGCGGTTTTTTTGGCTACACCCTTGTCTTTTTGGATAGTAGGGATGCTTAAATTTAATAGTGGAAAAGTGATAATGTATTTATGTTTAATAAAATATTTTATTTTATTTTATTTTTATTTTTTCTCGTTTTCTATTGGTTATAAGTGATGTGACATTCTCGGTAAATTAATCGAATCGACTATTTCCTCATTTGTTAATTTTAAAGTTGAACCTAATCGAATCGATTATTTTCTCATTTGTTAATTTTAAAGTTAAACCTAATTTAACCACTTGTCAAATGTACATACATTACATTAACTTCATGTTTGAATTAGTGTAGGGTTCCGAAAATTTTGAAATTATTCAAAAAGTACCCAAAACTGAATCAGAGCACCCCACTATCCACGTGAGCTTCGGCTTTTTAGTCGCCTTCAGCGACCAGCCTTAGCCGCTGTGGCTTGCATAATGCCTGTACTTTGGTACGCAAGGGAGGAGGGGCTGCATTTCCCGTAACGCCGGAGCTGACCAAAAAATGTATTATTATTCGGTTAGGTTAGGTTAGTATATTAATATTATTTTTTAAATAACTGTTCAACTTAAACTCGAAATCGAATACAAAAATCGATTTTCACTTTTAAAAAAATAGATTATTTTTCACCCCTTACCCCCTCCTCACCCCCCGCAACCCCCAATTCGGGTTACCGATTTCTAAATCGTTACCGAGAAAATATTGTTACGTTTCTGATTTTTTTATTTTGATATATTTTTATTTATCATGTGATGTCAGAATTATTGATTACCTCCCAAGTAATAAATACTAATTTTTGAAGTGCATTTATTTTATTTGACCGATACCCTTGTTTCATTCCTAACTCTATGGACATATAACGGCCTACTATAAAGCCGACCAATCAGGGAAAACCTTCGGACAGTTGACAATTTTAAGATTGTAATTTGACGGTTTCACTTCGATAGATTACAATCTACCGAATAATAATACGTTAAATTGTAAGCAGTACGCTGAGGTTTACAATCTTTCGACAGTTTATAATCTCGCGCGATAGATTACAATCTAACGGTATTTACAATTTTACGTTAACATGCACACATAATAACTCATTCGTTATCTGTGATGAGATCAATGCTTTAAAATGGTGATGCTGTACTGCAATTGCATTGTGTATCATCTTCGAGTAAAGCCCAACACGGATACAGCGGTAATAAAACACAAAATATCGAAGTTTACTGTATCTTAGAAAAAGTGTACAATAGTAATGTGTGAGATGCGAAATTTGCATCTTTGTTCAATAACATTTCTTTCTATATAACCATGCGAAAATAGACTCCGAAAAAGTTACTTGAGAGCGTTTGGTGGACTAGTGCCCTCGTCGTTCACTATAACTTTTTTAAATCTGGCCAGACGATAACTGCAGATGTCTATTGTCAACAAATGCAAACCATGATAGAAAAGCTAGCTGCTGACCAAGGCTGGTCAATCGCTTTAGGCCACTGCTGCTTCGCGACAACGCTAGATCACACACTGCACAACAGACTGCTTCCAAATTAGAAGAGCTTCAATTGAAATGTCTAAGACATCTCAACTCCCCGGACATTGCTCTGCCATTGTTTTCGAAATTTGTATAACTTCTTGCAAGGTAAAAAATTCAACTCTGATGGGACAGTCGAAACCGCCTTCAAAGATTTTATTGATTCCAGTCCGAATGGTGCATCTATAGCAATGATATATACTTTCAATAATTGAATATATTCTATTTTAAAAAAAAAACTAATTTTTGTTCCTCCCATATAAAACGCCAATTTCATTTGTAAGGACCTAATATTAGTTCCTTACATATGAAATTGGCGTTTTGTA